GTGAACACTTTGGCACGGCAACATGACTGAAGCACCGTTTTGTTGATGTCTTCAAATGTATGACACTTTACGCGGATTGATTGGTGATGTGTACGAATGCTACTTAAGGTTAGGTGGGGATGAAATTTGGCTGACCCCTTTTTGATGATTGCAACAAGGAAACCAAAAGGAGCACGCCTTTCTTAAGGTACCCCAATTTAGGAAGCATCCGAGACGCACTTGCTCCAAGTCCCTCACTGAGAAAGCCCCAGAACGCGAACGAGCACGCAAAGAGATGGAGAAGCCTCAGATAGTTGGATACTGGCTACAAGGGCAGAACACATTCAGCACTGCTCAAGGCAACAACAAATTAAATATTGAAGGAGGGATGCCATCACCAAGAAATTGCACACTAGCATCCGACGAGGCCCACAAACGGACTTTCGCGAGCAGGCGATTGAGTCGTATTAATGAAGCCTCGTTTGCTCATCCGTGGCTGCTGCACGAGTGACACGATTAACGATCAGGACTTTGAGAGATGCAACACTTCTGACACATATTCCGCTCTTGAACACCCAAGGCACACGATAGTCACCCTTGACAGAAAGTGACACCAAAGCCACCACCCACATCGGCATAGCAGTTCTTAGCAAGAGGTTGAAGACCACCATCTAGCTGAAAGTTTCTTGAATGAGTACAACAAACATCGCAGAAGAACGTAACAAGTAGATGCATCATTGTATGGTCGGTGTGGTCATGATCTTCCATACAGAGAGTACGTCTGATTGATTTAATACCGCCAAAGAAGGTCCCCAGTAGCTGTGAGCGTTGCAAGTAATCTTGGCCCAAAGCTACTTGTATGTTCCGACAGCCAATGGTGTTTAGATGTAGGACCCAGGGCCACCTGCAACGCCCATGATCTGTCATTTGATGCCATGAACCGCAAGTTGTTGCGTCTCATTTGAGCTGCAATGCCTGCGCATCAAATGCGGCGAACTCACCTTGGGGAATTCAAGCACACGCGCGCGGATTCCAGGGATCCCATGCGGATTGTGTATGCCACAGGACCTAGCTCGCCTTTCGACCTTCTGTGGAAACCTTCCCCTAAAAAAGTGTCCCTATATGTTTCCCAACACAAAGGTTCACGGGATTTCCCAGGGCTTTGGCCCTCCTTAACGGAACGTGTGTCCAATGGTGACTGACGGTCGCGGGATGTGTAGCGGGAGGCAAAGTCGTGGCCTCCTTGCGCTTGGACACGCCGGCACTGCTCGCAGCTACTGCACTGCGCCCCAGGGATCGGCTCGTTGAGTCTACCTGCTGGAGCCGTAGGTAGGGAATCTGGGGAAAACAAATCCAGGGATGGGTCCCCTAGGAAACCAGCAGTTTCGATGGTTTTTTAATAAGCGCCTTTCCATTTCTCATTCCCTGGCTTTTGCACCAGCAAGTCTATGGTCCAGGGGCGGGAAGCACATTTCTTCCCAGAAACGGGGAATTCACTGTGTCACTAATCTTCTCACGTTTGCTTGGGAAACAAGTAGATTTGACCTTGCTTTTGCTGGAAGCAAGTGGGTGTGTCCATTTGGTTTTCCTTGAAAGCCACACGTCTTCGCTGGAAGCAGTCGACTGGCGAATCGGACACCGATAAGAATATCAGGGTTTGCGGTGGGCCTATCGATGTTTGGTGGTAACTCCCTCGGCTTTGGGCACAAGGCGTTCCCCTTAGATACCTCCAGGGGTTGCGTGCCAACTGACACGGCTCGTGGATCACATTGATTTGCTTTGAAATCATTTCAATTTGACAGGACCGGGAATTTGGACAGACCAGTGCACATCGCACATCGACTTGTTGCTTGTGTTTGCAGTGGCCAATCCGGAGACTTGCAGGAACAGGGAGCCATCCCGGAGTTGATAGAAGTATGGCGCTGCCAAGTACATGCTTTCCCCAGCATTCGCCAGCTCCCTGGCAACGGATGGCCGAACTGGCGGCGCTGCTCACCTTCTACTCTCCTGGCGATCTGATCAATTGGGCGCAAACCGCCTCTCTGCGGGTTGCACCGACTATAACGAGCTTGGCAATGGTTACTTGGAACAGCGTCCGAACTCCCCGGCTCCCGCCCGCAAGCCCAGGAATAGTCTTCCAACCCCATAGCTTTCATCAAGGACGCCCCCCAGCAGCCAAGGAAAAAGCAGAGCAAAACCAACCCCTAAACCCCAATCCCACTAAACCCTAAGCCAACAAACCACCCCCACACCCAAACCCCAAACCCCATCCTCACTCCCAAGGCGGCAGTTGGTGCGCCGGTGGTTCTGGGCACCACCTCCCTGCGCTTCGTCTCTTCCACGCTGCGGAGCCTCGGGAAGTGCCCGCGCGCGCCTCGGAGCCTCGGAGCCTCGGAGCCTCGGAGCCTCGAGTCCCACGGGGCTCGGAGCCCGCGCGAGGCCTCGGGTCTTCATGGCTGCAAGGCGAAGTGGACCAGACTCTTCTTTGCTCTGCCATCTTTGGTTTATGTTGGCGTCTTCGAGATAAAACTTAGTTTGCCGGAGCATTTGTTAGCTGTTGTTTCTGTATGTTTTGTCTTCTGTTTGTTTTCTTTCGGAAAAGGAACAAGTAGTGGTTCAATTGTTACCACAAGAAAGCAATATATCATATATCATATATATATATATATATCTGCTATATATATATGACCATAAGCAAAATAAAAATGGGAGAATTTCTCAGTTTGGACACCGTCTTTGTTCAACTTACCAACAGGGAACGTGTATTTGTTAGTTTTCCAAAAAGGCTGCCGAAAGGAACAGGAATTGGTTGTCTTGTTGTTTGTCCCAAGGTAGACCATTTGGGTTTAATTGTGCGAAACGTTGGCTTTCCCAGAAGGAAACGCAGGCGATGGTTTTTGCTGCTGATCCCCTATTTAACTACTTCACTTGGTTGTGGGGCGGTCGCAGACCCGGGGAGGAGATAGAGGCTCCGTGTTGAAATGTTGGACTTTGACCAATCGCGGTTTGGGAATGTCTGGGCTAGCCCAGTTGATTTGGCAGTTGGAGCTGATGTGGATTTCACTCAGAGAAAGCGAAAGGACTTGTCACTCACTGCCACGAGTGTTGGAGGTAAGCCCAAATAACCGTTCTTGCCATAAATTTACCCTTTATACACAGTCCCTTTCTCAAAAAAAAAGACCAGGGGCCCTTTTCTCAGCCCAAGGGACCGGGTCGGCCCGGAGGCTCAAAGACCTGGGCCTGGAGCGATCGCAGCTGCAGGCGCTGAGCCTCACTGCCGGCAGGCGCCCGACGGGAGGTCGGAACTCCGGACTCGTGTGCCAAACGGTCTTCCCAAGTTGCAAGTCCAGACACTCGGGGAACTGCTTCATACCCGTTTGTACTCGTGTCCAAATGCAGAAGAAGAAAAAATGGCTGGCTCAAGGGCGCAATTTATCTTCAAACCACCTGTTTGGATTTCCTCCAGAGCTCCTTTTAGCTTACATGATGGAACAGATATTTTCTTGTGACAACTGGGTTGAGCTTCTACTCTCCTGAAGATCGACGTGGACCCCCAAACCCCTGACTTCAGAGGAGTATTCTCTTGCAATCCGACCTCCTTTTTAGGTCGCTGCATTTTGACCTGCGGGACAGTATGTTGCTATGTGGCTTGATTTGTTTGTCCGTCTTTTGAAGGTTGCCAAATGCCTGGTAGCACTTCCATGTTTCATCCCAAGGTTGCATGCGCCCCGTCTCAAATTGAATGAGGGTTTATTTTCCCTGTTGGTTTTAAAGCGAATCTATTCCTACTGCAAGTGTTTATTTGTCTTCTAGCGGACTAGAGCAAATGGAGGTTTGTAAAGAGGACCCCAAGGACGAGCCAGGGCGGCGACGTGCGATACCAATGTCTCCCTTCTTGGGGGGCCATGGCTTGCAATGCCCGTCCCGAAATGTTGTCTGCGGGGACAGCTAGTCCATGCCAATGATCCGAACCCAAACCACCCCTGAAAAAGTCGAACTGCGATAGGTGCTGCCAAACAGCTAGTTTACTTCAATCATGGCTAGTGACTAGGCCTGGTTTAGTACCCCACGAAATTCATGTCGCGCTTCAGGAGTTCCTTTGTACCCTTCTCAAACTTCGCCGGGCTTGGCCCCAACGTCAGGCCGGGAAGCTGGCCACCTCTGGCCCGAGCGGCTTCAGGAGATGGATCTGGACATCATGGTGAGTTCCCTTTTGGTTCCCTGTGCAACCCCAAAATAGGCACACGTAGCCTGAAAGGAAGTCATATCCATACTGTGCTTGGTTTATTGACAAACAAGAATTAGTGGCTGCTGCTGCTGGAGTGTGTGTGTTTGTGTGTCTGTTTCTTTTTCTCTGTGTGTGTGTTTCTGTGTCTATGTCTGTGTCTGTGTCTGTTTGTGTCTGTGTCTGTGTGTGAGTGTGTCTGTGTGTGTGTGTGTGTCTGTGTCGTGTGTCTGTGTCTGTGTCTGCGTCTGTTTCTGTGTTTGTGTCGTGTGTTCACACTGCTATATTTGCTTGTTTGGTTTGGTTTGTTTGTTTGTTTTCTTGCTGGTGCAAAAAGCAGGGAATGAAAATTGGAATGACACTTGTACAAACCATCCCAACTGCGTTCGTTTTTCCTAGCGGACCAGTCCCTGAGTTCGTTTTCCCCAGATACGTATGGCACCAGCAAGTCTGTTGGGTTCGCTTCAGGTCGCTGACCCCAAGGCTCCTGAGGCTCCAAGGTGTAAGATGGGTTCCGCTCGTTCCCCCCCCCCCCACAAACCAATGGGCCCAAGGTCATGTTGGTACAGCTGGCTGGTAGTTGATATAGAGTTATATATATATATATATTTATATTTATATTTATGTATACAGAGTGGCCATGAATCGTTGCCATCGCAGTATGTAGTGGCAATGTTGCTGTTTTTGGTGGTTGCACAGTTGCTGTATGTATTATATATATATATATGTATATACACGTATACATGGCTTGATTAAGCAGGACGGTTAGCCTTGGGGCTGGTGATTTGGGAGTGGAAAGCATCTTAGCAGGGCATGGGACTTATATTGGGGTATGTGTTGTTTACCAACCATTATTGGGAACTTTCAGGGCATGGTTGGAAGGTTCATCTCCAAATTCCCTACTGAGAAGAAGCAAGGCGCCAAAAAGAAGAAGGATCGTGCTCTGATGGACATATTTTTGCACTAGTTGAGACGAAGGAAACGCCAGCAATACCAAATAACCACCTAGCAACTAGTGCTGGATTTTGTCCATCCACAGTATGAAGCGCAAGGAACCCGGAAGGCGGGAAAGGGCTCATACGCAACCCACTGATGGATGCCTCATTCCGGAATTCCAGAAAAACAATTACCAAGAATCCCTGTTTTTGATTCCAACACTGTCAGAGGGTGAATGTCAACAGCATAGTTGGCACAATGGTGCACATCAACTGGACTGCAATGGCCTGAAGTCTTGCTCCCCCAAATGACCCACTCAAAGAAACCGCAATTGAGACCGCCGAGAATGAAGAACAGTGTTTGTTCAAGATGCTTCCCCACCATCTCTTGCGAAGCATGCGTGTCATCAGGCTGTGACCAACATTGCACAAACAGAGAGTCTCATTTTTTGGTTAGTAGCAAGGGCGTCTTTTACCTAGGGTGTACTTTAACCTGGGTTTTGTGCATGGCCATGAGAGGGCAAAGGACCCTGTGCAAGAACCATTCTTGTTACAGACTCGTAGCTAGGGCTACTGACCTCAAAATAACCAAACCTCACAACGGGCTAGAACAGTTGCTAGGTCCTCTCTGCAGTCCTTCCGTGACCCTTCCAGTGCCTTGTGTTCTCGGGTCAAATGGCCAGGAGATACCCTCTTCGCCTTCCTGGGCCTGGCAGCTGGAGTGATGATCCTGTACCCATGTCGCGCTTGCCGTTCTTGCTCAGCCCTGGGCACCGCCCCACGTACGTTCAGGGTGTCCTGAGAGGCGTCCTGCTTGTTTTGAGAAACAGGTGACGCCATTACCCCACTCGGGAAAACAAGCAGACGGAATTGAATCGGAAAGTATGGCGAATGAAATGAGAATCTGACGGGACATGAGGGACCTGCAAATGTACTTTGGATACATACTCGTCCTGTTTTCCATGGTGCAAGCATCTGCCGGAGATCAACTCGATGCAATCTCGGGGCAGACCCGTTGCACACAACAAGAAATCTGGACAGCCGTTGCGAAAACCGCAAGGCGGCCAAATGTTCGTCCAAAGCGCACACAGCTAGAATTATAAGGATGTATCGAAGCTTAGGACTATTCATTTATGATCATGACGAGGTGTAGTCTTATACCACTCCATATCCCCATTCTAAGTATGCCAGCCCTGGCATTACGGGGAAAGAAAGGTTTGAGGTCCCGTTTGTTTGTGAGGTTATTAAAAATGGGCAGCTGCTCCAGTTCAGTGACTGCGGCATCAAAGGCTGGCCCCTCAAAATGACTTGCCAATCTACCACCGCGTTTGGTGTTCCGAAATGGCTCGGCATGCCCCAAGTTTCGTACAGCCCAGTGCAATGCGAGGGTGTAGAAAAATGCCCGACTCCGTCGCGTTGCCAGGCAGCTGAAGCTGCGAGGAGAAGAGGCGCAAAACGAAGCGCTGCCAGTCGAAGCAATAGAAGCAGACCTGGGTTGTCCAACTGCTCCATGTATGGAATGTTGTTTAACCCACATCCCTCCAAATGGGTCTTGGTATACATTGCCAACACAGAGCACGTGGGTACGTGGAGGTCGGCCCTTGTTAAGGGTCCAAAAGGAAACCACTTGCGCAAGTGTCAACCCACATCAGTGACAGGAAACCACTCATTCTTGGGGAGTCCCCATGTGAGACACGCCCTTCTAATGTGAATGTTCATTTGCATTTTGACCCAAAGCCATTGGTCAGGGCTTGGGTTTGCCCGTCATGCGGCCCGAGTTTACGACCGACAGGAACTACTCACATTCCGGGAGGCCAAAGGCCTGTGATCATGTCCTCGAAGTCTTCTTGAGTGCCAAAGTCATTCAGATCACCTGGCAGTCCATTTGCTGGAAGCTAGGCCATTCTCCGGGCTCGATGGTGGCATTCAGCAGGCGCCTGCCTGCATCCCTCTCCGCTTGGTCCTGGAGCATTCGCAGATGCGCGGGCGCCCAGGCGATTCGGTGGGTCGCCTTTGGCAGAGCAGCCGGGTTGTGGTGCGTGGTTTGGATGTGTCATTCGGAGGAGCCGTGGTTTGGATGATTTTTGGTTTGGATGTGTTAGGAACTGGAAGCAAGCCGCAAGGCCAAAAATGAAACCAGTGTTTCGCAATCAGAGGCTGCACTTCCTTGACACAGCCTTTTCTCGCATTTCCTGTTGGGCCATGCTTCCCAATTGTTCGGTGCCACCAGTGTTTCCTTTTGGTTTAGTGGATCCCCACTAAATCTTTAAACTTAATTCAACCCATCATTCACAATGTAGTCAAATTAAAGTCGATCGGATCGCCAGCACCATTTCATGACGTGTTCATGACCCAATCATCCAGGCATTGGTTGCGTGCGCACTTTGTCCTCTCCGAGTGCATGGCGGCGCTCAGCGTTGTTTTTAAGGAGTATTGATGGGTGAATGTGCGTGCTTGTGAATACCTAGCCTCTTTGCAACATGCAAACATCTGCAAGTTTTGTTTTGAAGACCTCTTAGGGAGCTTGTGCAGTTCATTGTAGGGCATCTCTTCATGTGTGACCATTTGCCCCGTGCCCTGAGGCCTTCGTTATCTCAGGTGCTGGCGTTTCAGGCGCCGACGGATGGGGGTCAAAGCACTTGACCCCGGAGGGGAAGTTGACGAGCACCACGAATCAGAACAAGCCATGCAACAATTTGAGGGGCTTGGTTCCCCAAGTGAAGAATCCCTTCGAACATGGGACACCCTCTAATAGTTAGCTGTACAACTTATCACAGCTGTGGAAAGGAGCTCGTTCCTGCCTGGAGATTCCAACAGATCCGCTAAGCCACTTGTACTCGTAGGAGATTGCCCAGGTTGTTTGGGTTCGTCTCTAAATGAGGCAACGCCAGACACGGTGGTTGTCCCTTTGGTTTTTCTTTAACCCCAAGAAAGAGTACGCTCAAAAAATTGCGCACCCACATTGAAGTTTAGAGGCACCCACTAAGCCACTAAGCTTCACCATGTGAACTTGACTAGCTGAGGAAAGCATTGCCAACGGGACGAATGAGTTTGGCTTGAAAACACATCGCCTTGACCCCATGTTACGTTGTCAGCTTTAGGTTCACGGAAAATAGCATCTGCCTTGTTACTCAGATATCTATCGTGACCGCAGCTTGCCTGAAAATCTCCATTGTCAGAGAACAAACGCCTTTTCGAGAGGCATTGTGTCGTGCTGCAACCCTGTATGCTGGTCCCTGGGCGAGCGCGAATGCATGTTGTTGCCAGCATTTGTCAATGTTCACGGTCATCAAACTCCTATTTCCACGGCTCTTTCTGATATATCTGAAGATCGTCGTGAAAAACAGGGTCAGCTTTCTTTCCAGTTCGCAGCGAAGGGGCGGCTTACCTTTCAGTACTTTTCTTCGCCTGTTTTGGACAGATCACATGTGGCAGAGGCACCTTACAATTGTGATGTGCCAACCATCCTGAAGACACTGACAACCAAGCAATGCTTTGCTAGCTCACTTGCAGGGCCTGTACACGTGTGATCATACAGATAAGACGCGCGAGTGTGTCAGTGAATGTTACTGACGCCTCATCCTCGTTCCTTGATGAAGAACATGTCTACAGTGTCAGAGGCCTTTGTGTTTCTGTTAGGCGCCCGCCTCGCAGCAGCCGTGCGGCTTCTTTGCCCTGTGCTCAGTGGTAACGAAATGTTAGAGGTCCAGAAGGCGGTAGCTTCGCTGCAGCCCCGCAATGAATGTCTTATGAAATGATTTTGTTGCCCAATGTACATGAGGGGCTGGGTACAGCAATCACGAAAGGGCAGAACAGATGAATGAAGGCTCTTAGCTTGAAGGAAGTCGGAGATACGTGAAGAGGCTGTTTTTGACGTCAGCAAATTGCAAGCCAGGATGCATTCTACATGAAGGTGTTTAAGCACTTTCAGCTGTCACGCGTGGGTTCTCGCGGAGCTAAATTAATTTGGCATGAGCAGCCGAACCCTTCTATGTTGACTTGCGTCAAGGGCACGTACTACTTGACCTGGCAAACCGGTTGTATTTGCATGTCACCGTGCAAGGTCTGTTAAGATCCTCTAATACGGAAGATACCCAAAGCGACAAGAGAGGATGAAGGCTGCCACGCAGAACATATCGACTGGGAGCAACCCAGCTAAAGGAGTTAGGTTACCACAGACATAATCTGCTTGTGTGGGCTAACGCGCCCTGCCCAACACTTATGACCGGCTCCATGTTTGTGCCTACACGTGGAAAACAGTACGTGTAGTTGCTGCCATCGGCAAAAAAACTCGACGTTCATCACACCGGCCCATGATAAACACACCTGCCCCGCAGCATCCGCAGCCAGCAGAACACATGCTCAGCCCATGACAAGCACACCCGCCCCGCAGCATCCGCAACCAGCAGAACACATGCTCAGCCGATGATAAGCACACCCGCCCCGCAGCATCCGCAACCAGCAGAACACATACTCAGCCCATGATAAGCACACCCGCCCCGCAGCATCCGCAACCAGCAGAACACATGGAAGACGGCTATGTGCGTTTGCTGCTTGATTCTGGGCCGCCCAGTCAGCTGTCTGTGCATGACTCGCCCATAGGGCGGCCAACTACAAACAAGATATAACAAGATGCAGAATCAGATATGAGAAAAAAAAGGCGCCCATTTCGAAGGAGCTCGGGATCAAACGAACCAGTCGGCACTGCTCAAAACGCACGCGAAGCGCAATTTTCTACGAAAAAAGGTGTAACTTGTCACCACTCACACCTTCATTTCATAGGGTAAAAAGCTGTGTTTTGTTGAATCCCCCTGTCACGGTGTGATTATTTTCCTCCAGGCATGACAAAACACATGGCAGG